AAATCAGTTTAACATGCCCTTAACCCCTAAGTGGGAAAACGCCGATATACCTGATCCCATGGCCGAATTTACCCCGGAGGAATTAGAGACAATGGCAAGGGTAATGAGAGCCATGAACAAGAAAAGTAAGGAAGCAGGAGGTATGACTACTGGGCAGACTAGAGCGAGGCAGGCACAGGAGGTGCCGATAGTCAATTTGGAGAGTCCATTTAATGATGCTGCAAACTCCCAAAGGTATCAAACCCGGGAACCGTCACAGGCAAGGTTGTATTCATCCGACAAGGGAACATAAGGGTAGTCTTCTAGTTATATTGATGAATCAAGGTCTCAAAGGCAAACAACCACTGTAAGCACAAGGCAACACCTAACACGAGCCGTTAAAATACCTAGGGCTTCACTGTTTACTCAGGAAATTCTTGATCAACTGATTGAAAAGGTTAAAATTCCGACATGCAAGTATGATAGGAAGGGTGATCCTAGAAGGTACATATCCTCTTATGAGGGACACATGATGTATACCAACTCTGATGTCGTCTGGTGTAAAGTCCTCCCAACAACCTTGATTGGGGCGGCATTAGATTGGTTCTCTAACCTTAACACGGATCGGTTGGAAGTTACGACAACTGACAAAAATGTTTCTCGGGCAGTATATAAACAACAGTGCATGCCAGAGGACTTCAAGAGTGTTAATGGCAGTGGTTCAGAGACCGGATGAGTCTTTAAGGGACTATATCAGACGGTTCAATAATAAGGCGAACACCATCCCATAATTATAGCAAGAGATAACAGTTATGGCATTGATGAATGGCTTAAACAATTATGAGTTTAAGCGTTACCTGAAAGGATTGGTGTCCTTCGAACAAGTGTATTATTCCGATAGTGGGTTCGGAATTAATTACGGAGTTAATTATTTAGTGAAGTCAAGTGATCGGAATGTCGGGCTAGAGGCCATCTCTGATCAGTGAGATTAATTATATTAATCCCACAACTTTCCTTTTACTGAACCCAACGGGTCACACCCAAGCGTGCTACCAAACTAAGGTGACGAATTAAGCCGAAGACATTAATACGTCAAACTAGAGGATACGTATTCCGACGTCGGATTCCGAGCTTGGAGCGTCGAACCCGAACGTCGAGTTAAATTCTAGGAATTAACGAGACGTACAAATAAGTAAAACAACGAATCATAAAGTCAAAGTGCATAACCTTAACCTCGTATCGGCCTAGCCGTACGAGGGCTAGGCTAGCTGCCACAAGCACCGACAGCCTGTAAGGGCGTGCGGGCTTGTAAGAGAAGTAGCAGCGTGGCGTGGCTAGGAAGCCCACATGCTGGCAGCTCGCAGTAGGCCTGCTAGTACGACACGCCAGCAAGCTCGCAGTGAGCTGTGGCTAGCGAGGCCTGCTAGCAAGCTAGGCATGGCAGCCGAGCAGCGCACAACAGCCTAGCAGCTCCCGTGGGCTTGCGGAGCGTGCTGGTAGGCCCATGCCGAGCAGCGCACAAGAGCAGCCCAGTCGAGTGGGCTTGCGATATGGCTAGCAAACCCATGCCAAGTCAAACGGCCTTGACCGGTCATACCTTGGTGCCCAAGGGTGTTGACCGGTCATGGGCTATTGTGATTGGTGAGTTTGGTGCCTCGGGGAACAAGGAGGCCATGCGACTCTCCTTGTGGTCCTCACCTAACCACTCCCATGTGATTACCACTTGTTGCTTGACTATTTGTTCTAACTATTTAATTTATTTTAGAATTAAATTAAATACTAGCTTTTCTCAACTTTGCAAAAGTCCCACATTGATTGGAAATCAAGGGGATGGATATGCTTCTCCTATAAATACCCAAGGCCTCCCTTGGGAATTCTTTGCAAGAGTTGAACTCTATAAAAGGCATCTCTATTAAGAAAAACCTTATAAAGAGACCCTCTTGTTTAGTAGTGTTAATATTGCTCTAGCCGGTAATATTAGCCAAGTTTAGGCGCGTGGGTGGACTACGTTGGAGGGGTCGCGTTTGAGGCCCTTTCTCCGTTCGTGAGTTCATGTTTGTGCTAAGTGGAAAACACGCATCAGAGGTATGATCATCTTTTCCTCTTTCTTTCTCTCTCTCTCCCTTGTGCAAAGTGAAAAATCAACTCCAAGATGATAACAGTGTGCCTAGGGGTGGTAGACCTAGCTAGACAGCAAGGCTCGATAAGAGGAGGCGAAAGTCGTCATGATTGTAGGGTCATGAAAGGACCTATGCGATTTAGTACTCACACCCCACTAAATGCGTTGCGGGCAACAATATAGCATATTAACAAACATAGAGAAGATTGGTTTAAGTCGACACCGATGAAGTCAAGAGGAAGGGATACGAAGAGATATTGCATGTTTCATCGGGATGTCGGTCATTACACCGAGGGTTGCATACAGTTAAAAGAAAACATAAAAGATCTAATCAGAAGGGGACACCTCACTCAATATCAATCACATCTCGAGGCAAGCCGGCAACAAATGTAAGCTCTCCGACAGTTAGAATACCGACAGCAAGATCAAAGGAACGACAAGCACCCAGCCGAGGTTAATCGACAGGGTGATGGAAGACAGACTCCGTCATCCTCAGCGAGGAATATAGTTGTGGATGTTATTACTGGAGGGCTAGTGCATGGAGGATCAATTAGTGGTGCAAGGAAGAGCCTATCAGAGCATCGACACGTAGTTAATGCCCTGGATGCAAATGAGCGCCCCCGGCCGTCAAAGATTCCCCGCATAACCTTTACGGAGGAGGATGCTAAGGGAGTTGGTTTTCCATGATGACCCGTTGGTGTTGATACTACTGATTAACGGGGCAAAGATAAATAGAATTCTGGTTGATGGAGGGAGTTCTGCTAATATATTGATTATGAAAGCATTTGATGCCATGTTTACAGGCAGACAGTACTTAAAGAGGGTTTCATACCTTGTCATTGGGTTTAACGGCTCAACTGTTAGGCCAGAAGGTAGTATTGTTCTACCTATTCGAGTTGGAGAAGGTCTGACAGCAAGGGACGTTATGGATGAGTTCATAGTAGTTGCTGTTCCATAGGCATATAATGCAGTTATTAGTAGGCCCCTGGTTCATGATATACAAGCTGTAGTGTCAACATACCACCTTACTATGGCCTACGTCTCAAATGACGCATGTGTGGAACAAGTGCATGGTAGTCAGGAAATGGCAAAGTAATGTCACATAACGGCGCTAAAACAACCGACAAGAGAGGTGCCTACCCAGGATAATCAGAAAAGGGACTGGGAGCCGTCAGTTCATGACTTGTCAATGGAAAACTTTGATACTAGGCCAGTATCCGTGCCTCACCCGTCCCTAGAAGGAGAAATAGTAGAAGTTGAGCTGCAATAGAATGTCCCAGGAAGAACTGTGAGAGTGGGGTCTGATATGAATGTAGACATGAGATGTAACTTGATTAATTTGCTACGAGAAAATTCATATGTATTCGCCTTTTCGGCCGATGAGATGTCGGGAATTCATCCAGATGTCATGGTGCATAGGCTCAATATCGATAGGAAGTTCAGGCCTGTAAGACAAAAGAAAAGAAACTTCTTAACGAAAAAGATCGAAGCACTACAAGTAGAAGTTAACAAGCTTCTAGAAATAGGGTTTATTGAACCTTGTACATATCCAGAGTGGTTAGCGAATGTCGTCATGGTAAAAAAGTCGACAGAATAGTGGCAGATGTGTGTGGACTTCACAGATCTGAATAGGGCCTGTCCTAAAGACTGCTACCCGTTACCATGGATAAACAGATTGGTGGATTTAACATTGGGACATGTTATGCTCAGTTTCTTAGATGCATTCTTCGAGTATCATCAGGTTAGCCTACATGAGTCCGATATAGCTAAGGCTGCTTTCATAATGGACGCTAGAATGTACTGTTATAAGGCGATGCCATTTGGATTGAAAAATGTAGGTGCAACCTACCAGAAGCTGGTTGATAAGATTTTTGAGCACCAAAAGGGACGAAATAATGAAGTGTATGTGGATTATACGATAGTCAAAAGTAAGCTGGCAATTGATCATATAGGGAATATCAAGGGTACTCTTTGGCAATATCAAGGGTCCGATCTGGGAAGTTTTTGGGATTCAAGGTTAGTGAAAAGGGAATGATGAAACAATCGAAAACCATACTTGATATTCAAAGGCTCACAGGCCGAATTACACGCTTCATCAATAAGTCAGCCGACAAGGCGCTCCCGTTTTTCATAGTCTTACGGCAAAACAAAAATTTTGAGTGGGGAAAAGAACAGATGGAGGCCTTAAAGGTAGTGAAGAATCACTTAAGGTCGTTGCCAACTGTGGAAAGACCACAAAAGGGGGAATGGTTACAGTTATACATATCGGCTTCTCCAAAAAACAGTTGCGGCGGTACTCTTAGTTGAAAGAAAGAAACAACAACAGCCAATTTACTTTGTCAGCCATGTGCTGAATGCGGTAAAATGGCGATATCCGTTAGTCAAGAAGATGGCATATGCTGTTGTAGTAGCAGTAAGAAAACTCAGGCCATACTTTGATGCGCACGTAATAGAAATTTTAACCAATCAGCTGCTAGAAAAGTCTTTGCAGAAAATGGATACCTCAAGTCGATTGTTGAAGTGGGCAATTGAATTATCAGAATACGAATTGATTTATAGGCCAAGGGTATCCATCAAAGCTCAAGCTCTATTAGATTTTAGAGTAGAAGCCTCTTACAACGATGAGGAAGGGCAGGTGGGTATATGGCAAGTATCGGTGGATGGATCAGCTACAATTGGTGGCTCAGGAGCCGGTATTATTATAGCCTCAACGAAAGGAGATGTCTTTGAATATGCTCTCAAGTTCAAATTCAAAGCATCCAATATATAACCAGAGTATAAGGCGGCGATAGCTGGTATTCAACTATGCTTAGCGGCAGAGGCCAAACGGATAGTGTTGGCAACAGATTCTCAATTAGTTGCTAGTTAATTTACCAGTGAATATGAGGCATGAGAGGCCACAATGCAATACCTAGAAAAGATGAAAGAATTGTTAGAAAAGTTGGAACATTTCGAAGTTAATCTAGTATCGAGAGCACAAAACTCACCAGCGGATGCCCTTGCAAAACTGGCAAGCTCAAGTTTCAATGATTTAGAGCGCACAGTTATGGTGGAGATTTTGAAGCAAAAGAGTATAGATGAAGCTCTGGTAGAAGTGAATTGTATTGATAATGACAGGCAATGGTATGATGATCTTTTGGCTTATAAGCTCTATGTGCTTCCTATCGATAAGATAGAAGCACGAAGATTTAGGCGAGATAGCATATGGTTCCTTATGTACCAAGGTGCTATGTATAAAAGGGGTTTCTCCCTCTCCCTGCAAAGGTGTATAAAAACCTTTGAGTTTGCAAAATTGATTGAAGAAATACATGAAGGCAGTTATGGCAACCATATCGGTGAAAGAGCTTTGTCTTTAGAGGCAATGAAACGGGAATAGTATTGGCCGACAATGAACGAGGATGCGCTGGAATATGTGAAAATATGTGAGAAGTGCTAGAAATTTGCACCTGTAACCAATCTTCCCCTAAATGATTTAACCCCTATCCTAAACCCAATCTCATTTGCACAATGGGGAATAGACATCATAGGTCTGTTTGCATCGGCGACAGGAGGTAGAAATTTTTTGATAATGGGGGTGGATTACTTCTCAAAATGGATAAAGGCTGAGCTGGTAGCAAGAGGTGAAAAAGCTCATATGGAAGAGTATCTTCACCAGGTTCGGCCTTCTAATGGCGATGGTCTTTGACCATGGGTCCCAAATTGATTGCAAGCCATTAAAGGAACTCTTAGCTATGTACAAAGTAAAGTTTGCATACGCTGTCGTCTGCCACCCGCAGTCAAACGGCGAAGCGGAGGCAGCTAACAAACATATCTTAAACTCCTTGAAAAAGAAAGTTGAAGATGCGAAAGGGTTGTGGGCCGATCTAATTCCTAAAAATTTTATGGGAAAATAGAACCACTACAAGATAGGCCACTGGGGAGTCACCTATCAATTTGGTTTTTGGGACTGAAGCAGTTATACCGTCAGACGTAGGATTGTTGACATTAAGAATTCAACACTACTGCTAAGAGCAAACTGATCTCCTCTTACAGCAGCAATTATATTTCTTGCCAGAGATAAGATTGAAGGCTGCAATTAAGTCTGCAACATATAAAGAAAGGATGACAAGGGCCTATAATAAAAGAGTGAATTATCGTCCGATGACATATGGAGACTTGGTTTTGCGTAGAACTGCTGCCACTGGAAAAGGTAATACAGATGGAAAGTTATCAGCAAATTGGGAAAGACCGTATAAGATGTACGAGACAATTAGGCCAGCGTCCTATCGGCTTCAGAAAATGCAAGGGAAACCTATGAAAAATGTATGGAATGCAACTGCACGTAAGAAGTTTTATGTTTAAATTCTCAATGTAAACTACTGAACTATCGGCAATGTCGTAATTGTACAATGTGTACACTTTTGAACTATCATTTTCGATAAATACCGATAATAAAATAAGGAAACTGGTCTGATAGCAACAATTTCTAAAGCATCCTCCGTTTGAATATTCCATCATCAAACGGGAGGGAGAGCTCAAAACCACAATCATTGAATTAGGTGATTGTAGTCTAATCAACTACCAATCTCAGTTCAAGTGAGATTATAGGTTCAAAGTATGTTTGTGGTGAAATTTCACCATGCTCTGAGCTAATAACACAGACAGAACAGTGGTGGCCGAAAGCCAAAAAAATAGGTTTATGAGTGAATTTGTACAACACAAAAAATCATTGGGAAGCCGGGAGGACAATTTGAAGGTACAGTTGGCAGAACATAATATGGTAGCATAACATGGTTCTAATTACATATCTTGCATAACATGGTGATAAGTACATATCTTGTGTCCGATAAAAATGAAAATATGAAAATGGAAATGGAAAATAACAATAAGGGCATAAGTTATAAAGATTCACATCCTTTGTGGGGAGAAGGTTACAGAGGATACAAGTTGTGTACAAATTAATGTTATTAAACAAAATAATATATGAGACAAAGCCAAAGGAACATTAAATGAATGCACAAGCTATGTAGGCACATACACTAAGGGAGGCAGATAGTATAGATATAAATACTAATACTAATTTTTAAACAAAGCAAAAAGTATATACTTAAAAGTCAAATACCTGATATGAAACTAGAATAAGCAAATGCAAAGTAGCCATTAGATAAAAACGACAGGCATCACCTCAAAAAAGGATCATGCCGAAGTGCAGCATATACAAAAACAAAAACATTGTTTATACAAACATAAACCAAATTAATATTCATAAAAAATTGAAAACGACCTTAACACAAAGGAGCCACAAGAGGACACTGGTGATGACTGCTCGCCCCATTAAGCCTGCTGATTGGTTGTTGTGTCCGGAGTAGGAGAACCCAAAATAGTAGCATCAGCAATTTCATCATCGTCCTTGCGTGGGTCGGCATTAAGTAAGTCCTCATCAGTGAAGCTTTCCTCCTCGAACTCGGTAGCCTTATGATGAGAATTTTTGTTAAAGGTAGTCTCGACAGCAGTCCACTGATCCTTCTTCCAGTTTGCGGCGTAAACCACACATCGATGAGCTGCTATCCATACACCGTTATAATGGTTCTGAAGCTTATTAACAAATGCTTGAGACTTTAGATACCTGATAATGACTCTTTGACGAATACTGGGCTTGTCGGCTTTAGCTTTATGAAGCTCCCCTTCAAGACCAACAACTAAACTCTTGGTGTCCTTTAACTCTTTTTGCAACTCATTCATCATTGAAACTGCCTTCTTCTGAGAGTCAAGCTCTTTTTTGACCTCCTCTTGAGCCCCTTTATTCTCCTTCAACTGTTTGAAAGGAATGGTGTCCTTCCAACAAGTGTATTATTTTGATAGAGGGTTCGGAATTATTAGAAAGCTAATTCTTCAGTGAGGTCAAGTGATCGGAATGCTTAGGTGGAGGCCGCTTCTGATCAGTAATATTACGGCTTAATCTTGACTGAACCCTTCGGGTCGCACCCATATCGAATAACCGATATGAGATGACAAACCAATCTGAAGGATTAGATAAGTCATTAGAGTATTACGAACAAAGACGTCAGATAACGAGCTTAGAGCGTTGAGACCGAGCGTCGCAAGTCGAGTCAAATCTAGAATTCGATGAGACGTAGATTCAACAAGCAACAAGTTTGAGCCAAGCCGTAGCCTCGCACTAGCCTAGTCATGCAAGTGCTAGGCTAGGCGAGTTCACCAACCCATGCGTGTCATGCGTGCCTAGCATCGGCTAGCACACGCACATCGCATGGCACAAGCATCGCAAGATGCGTGCCATACGTGTGTGTGTTGTGGTTGTGCAGGCATGGATGGGGGTGCTTACTAGCATAGCAGCACCAGCCATCGCAACATGCTGGGCATGGCTCAGCACAGCCCGCAATCATCACAAGGCCAGCAGCATGCAAGTGCTTGCTGGGCCTCGCTATCGCAAGCAGGCAGCGCATAACACTCGCACAACAGCACGCTATGCGTCCTTGTGCTATGGGCTATGCGTGCTAGGCATCGCATAGCAGCAGCACCAGCACACGCACATAGAAGCGCCAAAAGGCATCAGCCTACATGCGTGGCTTGCTAGCTTCACGCATGCGTGGGAGTGCTGGCTGGGTAGCCCAACCTTGGTGCTAGGTGCCACCTGGCAGCCTTGGCAGCCAAGGCAGGCTGCCAGCCAACTATGTGGCATGGTCAGCCGGTCAAGAGGAGGGGACCAAGGGGTTGGTGTATGGCTTGGGGAGCAAGGTGATTTGGTCCCCCCCCCCTTTGGTGGTCCTCACCTACTCTCTCCCTTCATGTGACACTTGGAGCTTGTTGATTGCCTTGCATTTTTATTTTGTTTTTGATTAAAATAAAATAGAGGAAAATGTAAATCTCCCACAATGATGGGAGAAGGGATATCAAGGCTCCCTTCCCTATAAATACCCAAGTTTTCGGTTTGGGAAAATCACTTGAGTGGAACTCAATAAGGCATCTCATTATTAGTGAGAAAACCTTTAAGTTCGTAATACTCTAGTTTTATTTGGTCAAGTCTCGACTAACCTTTGGGATTAAGACCGTTTGGGTCGGGTCGAGGGTGCGAGCCGTAGGAGGCCGTTTCACTTGCGTGGCTCGAGCTTTGAAGTAAGAGCTCGTGAATCGAGCGAAGTACGCGTCAAGGGTAATAATGTCTTTTCTCTTTCTCTCTCTTATGTTGTTAATTATGTGATTGCATGTTTAGTTGCTTTAATTAGTGAATCGAACTTTTGATCTATGGTGTTGGACACCGGGTTACTTTGATCACAAGACTTAAACAATGGTTGTTTTTGAAATGTATTGCTTATATGTTCTATAAAATTGCATGTTTTACATATGATTAGACAAATTGATGATACCGCCAAAAGAGCTAAGACCATTGAGTCGAATCAAACCTACTTGTGGCATTGTCGTCTTGGCCATATTAACATCAAACGCATCAAGAAACTTCTTCATGAAGGTATCCTTGACTCAATCGACTAAGAGTCGTTTGAAAATTGCGAAGGATGTCTATTAGGCAAGATGATAAAGCAGCCATTCTCCAAGTTGGGAGAAAGGGCTAGTGACTTATTAGGTCTAATACATACGGATGTATGAGGACCAATGAGTTCACCTGCAAGGAATGGTTGTCGATATTTCATTACCTTCACGGAAAACTATAGTAGATATGGCTATGTCTACCTTATGTCAAACAAATCTGAATCTTTTGAGAAATTCAAAGAGTTTCAGAGTGAAGTTAAAAATCACCTTGGCAAGAAAATCAAAGCACTTCGATCAATACGACGATCACTTGAAACATAATGGTATTCTTTCAGAGTTGACGCCTCCCAGAACTCTACAATGGAATGAAGTGTCCAAACGGAGGAATTGAACCTTGTTAGACATAGTTTGATCAATGATGGGTCTTAGTGAACTTCCTATCTCTTTCTGGGAACACGCACTTCTAACTGCGGCACTAACACAGAATCGTGCTCCGTCAAAAGCTGTGGAAAAGACTCCATATGAATTATGGACAAAGAAACTTCCATGGTTGTCTTTTCTTAAGATTTGGGATTGCGAAGCATATGTCAAAACATTAATTTCTAACAAACTTCACCCAAAATCTGACAAGTGTTTCTTTGTAGGCTTCCCAAAAGAAACCAAGGGGTATTACTTCTACAACAAATCCAAGAACAAAGTGTTTGTTGCTCGTGATGGTGTCTTTTTGGAGAAAGAACACCTTTCCAAAATGACAAGTTGGAGGAAAATCGAACTCGATGAAGTTCGAGAGGACGAGCAATAAAGTCAACCTGAAAAAACTGATAATCAAAGTGCTTTAGAAGCAGCTAATGACATTGGTCAGAGTCAAACCGACAATGCAAATGCTCAACC